ATCATGCGAGCGGGCCGCACCCCAAATCGCTCACCCCATCATTGTAGGAGAAGCACCTCCCCCGCCTCCGCCCCCGAGACCTTGCTGACTTTGTGCTAACAATAGCAAATTAAATCGCGCCCCTTCCTTTGGTGCACGGGGCCCTGGCATTGTGTCCCCCTTCCTGTCATATTTGTTGTGCACAGGTCCATGTACCTGCATACACGGACCTCAGCTTAAACGTCACCTCCCCAGATCTGTATTGGCTCCCCTCTGTGTATTAGGCCCCACAAGTGTATTTAGCAGAGCACCTGCCTGATTCTTTTCTAGCATCATCCCAATTTAAAATTTTAACCCCGACTCCTGCACTGGCGTGAGCTCGCTGAGGACAGAAGCTGTGCTGCCCTCGCTCTCTCTCTGGCCACAGGACGGGCTGGGCCAGCACTGTCAAGCCTGTGGGTGGCATTGTGGCTCCTCCAGGCACAGGGAAGCCCTCCATCCCGTCAGTGGCAGGGTGTACTGTGTTTCCATTAGTGGGGCTGGATTTGGGGGAGTCAGGGTACCTCCCCATCCCCTGCATAGATTCTCCGAAGGCCGCGTGGTCTGGGAGCAGTGTGGTGTCCCTAGGTAGAAGGCTGCCGGTTAAATGGGGTGCCTCTGTCATTGGGCATCAGGCGAGAAGGGCCCCTTCTCACAGAACTGTGACCTGCTTGTTGGAAAATGAAATCGAGACTGTGACACAGTTCTCTGGGCCTGAATGTGTATGACAGCCGCTCCCTGACTCATAGGCAACTTGGGCTTTTAGGGAGATTTTTAGGGGGAAATCCCTTCTGAGTACTCAGGTGCTTTCTTACCAGGAGGGGAGGGCGTGCCCCATGGTGACCTCCTCCCAGGTCCCCATGTAGCCTTTCTGGGTGCCTCAGTGCTGCCGATGACCACATGGGAGGGAAGCTGGGCTGCCAAGGTCAATTGAGACTGCTCAGAGCTGGGCAGAGAGCGTCGCGTCACCCGGGACCTGCACCAACAGTCCAGGTATGAAGTCTTAGGGCACTCGAAGACGTCAAGTACTATGATCTCAATGATTTTCCTAGTGATTACACATTGGGCTGGTAGTGTTTTAGGTAAGTTGAGTTGAATAAAATATATTGACAGATATTTCAATAATCACTGTTTTAGAGTTCAGGGGAGTTTTATAAATATGAATTCCGTTTCTCAGCTCTGGGGACTTTCATTTAAAGATGAGATCACCAAACTGGTCCTGAGGGTGTCTGCATTCCCTGGGGTCACCCATTCACAAAGCATTTTCTGGCATTTCAATTCTGCCTGTCTGGAATGCCTATAAGGCATACACTTTATCCGTCAAGGAAAATAAATAATAGGCAAGTTTTGTTCAGGAGAGATGACACTGGTAAGACTTTGGTGTGTTTCTTAACAGGGGTACCCTGAAAACCTACGTGCATCAAACCCTCAGGCCAACAGGCCAGTTGTGGAAGCTACAGTTTCTGCTGATGTATAGGAGGTGTTATCTGGGCTCTAGCCCCCACTAATTCTGCCTCACTGCAGTTTCTTCGATTTTAAATAAGTGTGGTTTTTAAAACTGGGGAGGCCTGAGGATGTGGGAAGGCAGGAGTGATATTTTTCAGTGTCTCTGTTTCCTGAGAGAAAGTCATGTTGCATCTTCAAAACAACAGCTGTCAGAATGATTTCCATCAGATTAAATAAATCCTCGGAGCCGTGATCACAGTTTCTAGAATCTTGGAAATGTAGGTTATGCTTTGCATGGAACCCTAATGGAATTGAAAATACGCGTGTTTTTGCAAACATGGTTTTGCAAGCAGGCGCTTTACCAGGGTTTCTCATTTGTGAATTTTGGTTTAAGCTACCGTAGCTCAAGGAGTTGAGGAAGAGTTTTTCCTGTATAGATGTAATAAACAAACACTTACCAATTTGAGATGCTATTAATTGTAGGTGAAAAAGGCAGTGAAGCTCAGGGCCAAGCTGGATGGAACGCGCAGTGCAGCGCATGCTCTGTCAGCGTGAGGCTGTGTGGTACAGGCAGCGCTGGCGAGTGTTACACAGGAGGCGGCCGCCCTGTGTCCTCACCATCGAGTATGGCCTTTCCAGTTTTAGAAAAGAGAAGAAGACTTTTTGGGGGGCTGGGGGGAGTTTGTGTCACAAAGACCTTGAATGAATGCTCAGTACAGATTGATATTATTTCTTGATGCAGAAAAGCTTATTCTTAAAATTATCTGTTAAATCTAAACCACAGTGAGATACCACTCACACATTAGGATGAATACTATCCAAAAAAAAAACCAGACAATAACAAGTGTTGGTGAGGTGTGAGACACCGGAACCGAGTGCATTGCTGGTGGGAATCTGAAATGTTGGGACTGCCGTGGACATCAGCACAGTGGCTCCTCGGGTTAAACACAGGATTAACACATGGCCCGGCAACTCTACTTCTGAGTGTCTGCACAGAAGAATTGAAAGCAGGGTCTCAGATACTGGTACACCCATGGCCATAGCATCATTAATCCCAATAGTCCAAAGGGAGAAACAACTTAAGAGTCCATCACAGATGAATGGATAAACAAAATGTGGTCTATCCACACAATGAAATACCACTCAGCCTTGGAGAAGCAAGGAAATTCTGTCATGCTACAACATGGATGAACCTCGAAGATATAATGTTCAGTGAAATAGCCAGTCACAAAAAGAGAAAGACTATGATTCCACTTACACGGGGTACTAGACTAGTTGAATCCTCAGGACAGAAAGTAGAACAGCAGTTACCAGTGTTTAAGGGAAGGGAGACGAGGAGTTATTGCTTACTAGGTAGAGTTTCTGTTGATGATGAAGTTCTGGAAATGGATCGTGGTGATGGTTGTATAACAATGTGAATGTACTTAATGGCACTGAATTGTACAATTAAAAAATGGCTTAAAGGTAAATTTTTTAAATGTTAATTAGTTGCTGAGCTAGCTGGGGTTTGCAGCACATTTGGCAGGGAGGGGAGAGCTTGCGCTCTGAGGAAGGTGGTATAGCAGAGCAACACAGGCTGGAGTCTGCCCTCCAGCCTGGAGGAGACTGCAAGTCCAGCACAATTCTTCGATGTTGTTTAAAAAACAACACAGAAATGGTGCACTCTGCAGCAAGAACCTCTTCTCCAGCCTGCTGGATCCGCAGGACTATTGCCTTCCCTCTGAGACCAATAGGCTCTTCTCTGCTACACTGTCCTTCGATGAGTAGAATCCAAAATGCCCTCAAAACTCAGCAGCTTAAGTGCTAACGAGTCAGCGTGGGTGCCTCTGTAAGATAGGGGTCAGCAAGGAGAATCACCGTGTGGCCCTGAGGTCTGCCCTCAGTCTCTGACTCTCCTTAGGGACTGAGCTGGGACTGGCGGGGGGGAGGGGGGGATCTCCTTTAGCCCCAGAGTCCAAAGTGTTCTAGCCATTCAGCATCACACTGTGACTGTCTCCTTGAGAGGCTCACTTGAGGGGAGACGCTAAGGTGGGTGCCAGGAAGGTAAGCGCTATACCTGCCACTGGGCATCAGAGGGCAGCAATGAGGCTGCAGCATCTGCCTGCATTTTCTGATGTCCAGGCCGGAGCAGGGTCACTGCGACCTCTGATCATAACCATCCACACACGCATTTCCCCAGGCATGCTCAGTCAAGACCTAGGACCCACCCTCATCGTGTTTAACGTGGGAGACGCCCAGGGCCAGAGTGGGAAGGGTCACCTCTAAGGTTCACTGAGGCCAGGGAGGCCACCGGTGGAAGTGTGGGGCCCCATGGTGGGGCGCCGCATCTGGAGACCCTTTCTCCGCGCACACGCACACAGGGGTGAGCAGGTGCTGGGACAGACACTGCGGTGGGCGCTGCAGGCTGCTGTTCTGCCTGCAACAGGGCCAACCCTCTCCCAAGGGCCAGACGCTCTACCTTCTCAGAGCACAGCCTGCTAATTCAGGTACAATTCTTTATAGTTCAGTTCTGTACATCAGGGTCATACACATCGTAACAGAGAGTTAGAAGTGACTAACTTTTTTCTGCTTGTCTGCTTTTCAACAATACATTGAACATATATATGTAGAGAAACAGGATATGTGTGTGTATATATATAGGCAGAGGAGCTGGTCTCTATCATGCATCTCTTCTGACTAGATTCATCTCTCTGGGTGACTTTCTCATCAGGCTCTTGCGGGGGGAGGGTGTGTCTCTGTTTCTGCCTTCAGAGGCTTGATGTAGGTTACAAAACCAACATAAACTGGCAATGATGGAAGTAGTCACGGGCTCGCCGTGCCTACAGATGGCCGGGCTTTACTGGAAGGTGATGCTGCATAATTATCAGAACAGAACCATCTCTATTTCAGGCTCCTCCTAGATTCTAACATGTTTGGGTTTGTCTGATTCTCAACTATGAACATGTATGACTTTGGCCCTGTGTCCATCCCCTCAGTTTTGGTGACAGTGGCAAGCTCAGTAGGATAGAAGATGTTAACATTGACAGTAGCTTCGGAAGGACCTGCTTGGGATCCCCTAGAGGCCAGGAGTGCATTGGCTCTGGGTCTTGCCCCTTAGCAGCTACTGGAAGCCAAGGGCCCCACGAGGACTGTGGAAGGGGACCCTCAGCTCACAGAACAGGGAGCTTCCTAGTTACAGTCTCCAGTTCATTCAGTGTGACCCTGACTTACTACTTCAGGGACGCCTATGTCTGTAATCTGAAACCAAAACCACTGGGCTTGCCGGTAGTTACAAATTGAGGCCTGAGGACGAACCAAAGAACAAAAGGAAAGTGCTTTCCAGCAACTCCCCTGCCTGGCCTCCCTCAGGAGGACTCCACAGGTATCCTGAGCCCAGCGGCCAGGTGGTAGTTGTGGTGAAATAACCTTCACTTCTCTTTCCTCCTCAGCCATGCTTATTCCCTCCCCTCAAACTGACCTCATCCACCTGTTGTCGCTGCCACAGCCCCCCTTTGTGAGTTTTCTGCTAAATTGTCTTTTCCCTTCTTGTCTTACAGCCCGCCTAAACCCACCGTGTACATCTCCGGTGTCATCGCCCGGGTAAGAGCCTTCATCACATGGGCCTCAGCGTGAGGTCTTTCGGTCCCTTGTCTTTGCTAACCCCATTCTTCCATGGGGCCAGTGGTGTTCTGTGGTCTCCTGTCCATGAGCGCATAGTGGGGAACTGGGGACAGTGACGGCATGGAGCACACAGCGGGGGTGGGAGCAGCTGCCTCTCCTCCTCCTCACCTGTCTCCCTTCTTTTTGGACTTGGCCAGGGACCACAGCTACCCACCGGCCAAGTGCTTCTGGGAGACTGAGCTGAGAATGCTTTTACATTTTTAAATAGTTGAAAAAATCAAAGTAAGAAGTCTATATTCATGACATGTGAAAATTATATGCAATTCAGATTTCAGCGTGAAGTTTTCGTGGCACACAGCCACGCCCATCATGTATGCATCGTCTGCAGCTGCTTTCATGCTGCAGTGGCCGACCAAATAGTTGAGGCAGAGAGTATGACCCGCAACGCCTAAAATATTTACTACCTGACATACTATAGAAAGTGCTTGCCAACCCCTGGTCTAAACACATGGGCTTTAGTCATACCCTTTACAAAGAGCACCCTCTTGTGGAGAACCCAGTGTTCTGTAACTTCAGCCCTCCCACCAGCTAACTCCCGTTGTGAGGAGGACACGCTAACACCACCCACAGTTCTGTGGCTCACAGTACAGCTGAGCACTTAGCATATGATGTGTGAAGAAAATGTCGTTGCTGGGGACAGCTCACCACAGCCGTGCTGAGACACTGGGACAGATGAGTGGCACGTCTACTACATGTGAGAAAAGTAAATGCAGATACAAGTTTGAGGTCAACCATGGCCAGTTGGTTAGCCGGAGCAGCCCTGGCGGCAGCCTCACAGGCCCTGTGGCACCCAGTGATTCCTCCCTGGAGACAGGGGTACCTTCTTCAAGGCTCGGCAGGTGAAGACAGGTGCTGTCTCACACCTTACAGCCCTGCCCTTTGGTATCCTTCCCGGCTCACAGCTTTGGTGGCAGATCTGAATGGAAGGCCTGGATTTGATTCTGTCTGGCCCCCAGTTCAGACAATTACAGGAGCAGTTCTAGCAGAAGAAAGACACCCAAACACATGTAGTTTCCAATCTCAGACGTGTGGGCAGAGACAGCCAGATCCTCACCTTCTGGGTGGTGTGTGGGCCTCAGTGCCCCTCCGCTCCCCAGGGAGCTTCAGGGCCCCCACAGGCCAGGGGACAGGCTCCTGCCTGCCCATAGGCCCCCAGTCCATCACGCACGCTGCAGGGACACGGTGGACTCGGGGTTGGGGCCTTGCTCCTGCACGAACCCAGCTAGTGAGTGTTGATGACGCCATGCCTTCCTTCTGTGTCTCCGACAGGGCGACAAGGACTTCCCCCCGGCGGCCGCCCAGGTGGCTCACCAGAAGCCCCACGCCTCCATGGACAAGTACCCATCCCATAGAACCCAGCACATCCAGCAGCCTCGCAAGTGACCGCGAGGACCCAGCGCCCTCCCCTGCCCTGCCTGGTTCCTGACATTTGGTATTTCCCCGGCAAAGAGAACTGCATTTTCTTCCAAACACTTTTCCAGTGGGAGATCTAAGGCAAAGCAACGCGCCCTTCCTTTGCCTTACATTTCCAAATCAAAGCTAGAAACAGACCCCAAACCTTGTTCCCAGGGAGTCCTGTTTGGTGAGGGGCCATTAGCAGAACCTGCCGAGTTCTGAGCAAAATGAAGTTGCTCAGAGTTTAGCTCTAGAACTATTTCAGCCATTGACTAAAAGTCCTGCCTGTGGTCTTAAAAACAAAGGGGCACAAATGTGGGAGGGTTGGATTGAGATTAGGAGGAAAGCTCAATCGTTTTATGCTTCTGAGTACTAGGACAATCAAATCTGCACACCTAAGGGAGCATAAGAAATGAGGGTGTTCATTACGGGGTGGGTTTCAGAAAGACATCAAAGAAGACTTAAAATGGACCACAGCAACCCTGAATGTCACTCCCTGTGCGACCAGGGGTCCCTGTGCAGGGCGACCCCAGAAGGACCAAAGAAAAGTTTGCATCTCTGAGATGGCTCTGTTATTCCAGGAGTCATCTTGCTGAAAAATTAGAGGGCAGGTAGTTTGCCCAAAGGTAGTACCTCTGGGAGGAGATCTCAGTGTGGGTCCCAAGTCCAGCACTGCCCCGCCATCAAGGCAGCCTGCGCCCGAGCAATCGAGACAAACTCGTGTTTGTCATCACTCACCTCTAGAGCTGTCTCTGAGTTCTGGAAGTGGCCACTGGCCAGGCAGACGGATAGCCAATTCTGGACACACAGCAAGAGCACAGACTGCATGGGGAGAGAAGTGAACGCAGAGAGAAAAGACCGAACCTGCCCTTTGTCTCCCTGGGAACAAGAGACACCACATTCCATTAGAGCTAGAAAAGCCTGTGTGCCAGTGGGCCCAGCTGTCCAGATGCCTTCTGCCTGTGCACGTTTGCTGGGCCCACCTTCACTTGGGCCCGTCAGGTGGCCCTGCTTTCTGTGCGTTTCCTTCCCAGAGCCGCCCTGGGCTGCTCTCTGGTTCGGGGGTGGAGTGCCTGCTTTTCTGAAAAGCGAAAGGTTCCTTCAGATCTTCCTGAGCAGAGGCCTGGGGAGGGCCCTCCCACCAGCCACCCCACTTGCCAGCAGTGGCATTTGCTGCAGGCCAGCAGTGCACTGTGAGCAGCGTGCCCGCCACCAGCCTTGCGATGCCATTCAGTCCAGAGCTGCGATGAGCAGGGGTGACTCAGACCTAGGCAGACCCATGCCCTCCCCTGAGGGAAAAGCCCTGCCTGGCTTTCTTAAGGCCCTGTCGTTTCCTCCCACTGGCTTGCGGAAGCTGGAGTCTAACCTTCAAGGTACCATGTGATCACATCTGGTATTTCTTAGTCTGAGAGGTTGGTTTACACCAAGGCTGGCTTTGGAGAGGCACACTCTGTGGGCAGCATGGTCGTGGGGCACACAGAGCAAGCAGCTCCTCACCCCCACCCTACCCCCCAGAGTTGGCATCCCAGAAGGGCGCTGAGAGCAGGCAGTGCAGGTCAGGCCTGTGCAGACCCTTGCACCTTCCACTGCAGAAATGTAGGCGCGTGTTGATACCTGGGTTTGCAGGCAGGAGCGCCGTGCTGTTTCCCAAGGGGCATGTTTATGTACTTGTAGTTGCACCTGGCATGTATCTGTGGCTCGCTGAAAGCATACTGTTTCCTCAATGAGTACCAATTGTTAACTTGAAGAATAATACTGATTATAATAAAGCCCCTGCATTTCTCCTCATGGCTTGTTTTTTCTTACATTTCAGAGATTTTTCTCTTACATTTTACTAGGGTTGCCAGATGGTTTCTATAGAAACACAAACATGCATGCATGATGGGTATTTTCACAAACTGTTTCACAGACACAAAGTCGGACTATTGGACGTGTGGCACCTTGAGTCTAATCATCTACTTTAAAACGTCCAAAAATGGAAAAGCTTAAGGCAGTTGATTAATACATCCTGCTTGCACCTAGCGGCTGGCCCTGTGCTATGGGCCCTTTGGGAACAGACTTAGGGAGGAACAGTTAGCAGGAAGTCTGGGGTGGCTGTGAGCAGCTTTTGACAAGCAAGACATTCGCCTCTCTTCTGTAACCCATATAAGTGGGATGCAAAAATAATCACAACTATCCAACCTTGAGGTCCACAGTCAGATCCCAGACTGACACCGGGAGGTGCCCCACTGGTCAGGGGAGGATCTGGGGTGTGTCAGGATCTGGAATGCTGACTCCCCTGCACACAACACACGCCCGAAGCGGAACGATACTGCTGCGTGTCCTCGGTCCCGGTCCTTTCACAGGCTAGCTGTGGACACACACATGAGCCCGTGTGTGCGTCAGCGTGTCATGGAGAAGCAGCTGTAGGGCAGGGCTACGGGAGGGTCTGGGTGGGGAGAAGAGACATTGCCAGACCCAGCCAGGTTCTTAATTAATTAATTATTTTGAGAACATCTGCCGCCTGCCCCGGCGGCCTGGGGTGCTCTTCTGCTGTTCCGCAGCTTTTTCCAACTTGACAGCTGCTGTGCTGCTTAAATGCTGCTTCTTACAAACCCAAAGTAAACCTTTTCCCCCCAAGACCTGGCATCCTGCTGGCCTCTGCAGAATCGAAAGGAGACAAAACAAAAACAAGGAAATAGTGCGTTGCGTAGCCCTCCCAGGAGGCGTCTACAGCCATATGCTCCTGGAAAACAGGGTGAGTGGGTGGTGACGCTTAACCAAGAAACTGCTTGGGATTTCTCCTCTAGTTGTGTTAGCCAGGGTTCTCCAGAGAAACCAAGCCAATAGGATGTGGATAGTAGCTAGGTAGATAAATAGATATTTGCTTTAAGGAATTGCCTCAGGTGATAAAGGAAACTGTCAAGTCCAAAATCTACAGGGTCAGTCAGCAAGCTGGAGACCCAGAGGAGAGCCGGTGTTGCAGTTCAAGTCCAAAGGCATCTTGGGAGCAGGGGCAGGGGCAGGGGAGGTCAGTCCGTTCTACTGAAGGCTATCAACTGATTTGATGAGGTGCACCCACATTATGGAGGGCACTGCAGCTCACTCCAAGTCCACTGATTTAAATATATATGTCAACCCAAAATATATATGAAACCTCCAGAATAATGTCTGACCAAATATCTGGGCGCCATGGCCCAGCCAAGTCGGCACATGAAATGAACCATCATCACACGAGCTCATGGCTGCTCGTTTTTCTCGAGACCCTCCAAGCATCTGAGGCCTGTTCTCCCTCTGACCAGGTTGAAGCATCCGCATGCCTCACAACATGTTGTCTAACGTCTAACTTCTTCCAAACAGACTTTCTAAAATTCAATTAGGGGCACTTATAACGAGAAAATAAAAGTTTTCTCATCTTCCCTTTTAATCCTAAATATTATTAAAAATCCAACTGCCATGCTTTCAAAAATCAAAATCCAATTTGTCGCCTGGAAAAGACCCCACACAATATGAAATAATGAACTGATGTAATCGGAGGAAGCCCTGAATGAGGTTTTGGATTGCATTTCAGCATTGTCACCTAGAAGGCAGAGCCCAGCTTTTTGTCGCACAAAGGCTCAGTTTCTGTACAAATTGCCAGAGACCCGCGTGTGCCATTCTTTAAATAGAGATGGTCTGGGAACATGGAATGTGCTTCGAGTTCTAATGATGATGTTCATTATCTCCAGGGCAGTGCTCTCCACCTGGGGGCGACGTTGCTCTCAGGCAGTATGTGGAGATGCCTCTGGTTGTCCCAGCTGAGGTTGGGGAGGGGTGCTAGTGGGTCGCCCCTAGTGAACAGAGGCCCAGGATGCTGCTAAAAATCGCCCGATCCCAGGACAGCCCCACCACAAAGAATTATCCGGAGCCAAATGTCGGCCATGCCGAGGCTCAGAAACCTTAATGACCCTATTCAAGAAGCTCATATTATACAATTAAAGGCCAGTTCCCCTCCTGCTGGAATCTTGGGGGGGAAATCTATGTTTCAGGGGCAAGGATACTGAAGTGGAAGCAGCTAAAGCTAAGCTGTGTCTGCTTTTCTGTCCCTGGAGCAGGAAATAGCAAATTGCTGTGATGCAGACTCGCTCCTGGATGCAATGGAAGTTTTTAGATAGAGCAGCCTTCTCCTTCGGGAGGCGGGCGACGATCTGCAGCATCAGGCTGTGTTCTCAGTCACCTACACAAAGACCAGCAGAGAGAAATGTCCCTCGGTGGCCTCCCCAGCACACTCACCGAGACAGGCACGACCAACACCAGGTTTTTGTCTCAGCTACGTACTAGTATTCTCCAAAGAAGGTCTAGAAGCCTCTTCCCAAACGCTTACAGCCTGTTTTCCGTGCGTGGACTGTGCGTGTCTTGCGTGTCTCCAGCTGGTTAACCTCGGGGCTCTCAGCAGACACCGCGGAGTGAAGAGCAAAGGAGGAAAATGGGCGTCTCTCTGCCAAGTGAGCGCACAGCTAACCATGAGGCGAAGGCCAGGACTCAGGGTGCCCTGAACCGCTGTCTCCCAGCACAGCCCCCTCCCCAGCACCCCTCCACAGCACCCCTCCACAGCACCCCTCCACAGCCCCTCTCCCCAGCCCCCTCCCCAGCTCCCCTCCACAGCACCCCTCCATAGCACCCCTCCATAGCACCCCTCCATAGCACCCCTCCATAGCACCCCTCCATAGCACCCCTCCATAGCACCCCTCCATAGCACCCCTCCATAGCACCCCTCCATAGCACCCCTCCATAGCACCCCTCCATAGCACCCCTCCATAGCACCCCTCCATAGCACCCCTCCATAGCACCCCTCCATAGCACCCCTCCATAGCACCCCTCCATAGCACCCCTCCATAGCACCCCTCCATAGCACCCCTCCATAGCACCCCTCCATAGCACCCCTCCATAGCACCCCTCCATAGCACCCCTCCATAGCACCCCTCCATAGCACCCCTCCATAGCACCCCTCCATAGCACCCCTCCATAGCACCCCTCCATAGCACCCCTCCATAGCACCCCTCCATAGCACCCCTCCATAGCACCCCTCCATAGCACCCCTCCATAGCACCCCTCCATAGCACCCCTCCATAGCACCCCTCCATAGCACCCCTCCATAGCACCCCTCCATAGCACCCCTCCATAGCACCCCTCCATAGCACCCCTCCATAGCACCCCTCCATAGCACCCCTCCATAGCACCCCTCCATAGCACCCCTCCATAGCACCCCTCCATAGCACCCCTCCATAGCACCCCTCCATAGCACCCCTCCATAGCACCCCTCCATAGCACCCCTCCATAGCACCCCTCCATAGCACCCCTCCATAGCACCCCTCCATAGCACCCCTCCATAGCACCCCTCCATAGCACCCCTCCATAGCACCCCTCCATAGCACCCCTCCATAGCACCCCTCCATAGCACCCCTCCATAGCACCCCTCCATAGCACCCCTCCATAGCACCCCTCCATAGCACCCCTCCATAGCACCCCTCCATAGCACCCCTCCATAGCACCCCTCCATAGCACCCCTCCATAGCACCCCTCCATAGCACCCCTCCATAGCACCCCTCCATAGCACCCCTCCATAGCACCCCTCCATAGCACCCCTCCATAGCACCCCTCCATAGCACCCCTCCATAGCACCCCTCCATAGCACCCCTCCATAGCACCCCTCCATAGCACCCCTCCATAGCACCCCTCCATAGCACCCCTCCATAGCACCCCTCCATAGCACCCCTCCATAGCACCCCTCCATAGCACCCCTCCATAGCACCCCTCCATAGCACCCTTCCCCAGCACCCCTCCACAGCCCCTCTCCCCAGCCCCCTCCCCAAACCCTCGTTTCTGTCACAGGAGGAATAAAGGCTGGCTGTGAACTCTTGGAGCCCAGGCCATTTCTTACACCCCTGGCACTTCCCGGTCACCCCACCGTCACCCCCCTACCTAGATTGTAGGCGTGGGATACTGGCATCCTTCCTATCAGACACCGAAGATGTTCCACGCGGCTTTTAGCTACAACGCGTACAACTAGATGACATCACACGGGGCAGAAAAAACACATTTCAGAAATGAGACGGACGGAACAAGTGTTTGCAAAAATCACGTGCTTTATCATCAAATTCTCTACCTTCGGTGCCAAGGATGCCTCTGCCCCGGTACACCAGTGGGCTGAAGACTTTCAGGTTCAGTCACTTCTGAAAAGCACTATTTCTGGGTGCCATCGCTAACTAGGGGAGCCCTGTGGGACTATAGAAGTGGTTCGGTATCAGTGAGCCCCACTTTCAGTTAAGAAGACTCATCCTAATTCCGCTCACCAAAATGAACAAATATCACATGCTGTACCTATCATACCAGAGCCGAAGAGGCACCCTGGGACCAGAGCATGTGGTCTGTCCTCCCCTAATGGGACAGTGTGAGAACCCACATCCTGACCGGTGCCACCTCTCAGACTCGTGCCACCTGGGCCTGAGAAGGCAGACTTAGGAGTGGAAAGGCTCTCTGAACACAAACAACAACATTCCCTCCTAAAAAAAAAAAAAAAAATCCTACAGGAACAAAACCCAAGAAACAGTATTTGGAGTAACCAGAAGTCAGATTTCCATAAAGCATAACAAGAAAACCCCCTCACATGACGTGTAATGTCACGTCATAGATATGTAATAGCCCTCAGATGGCACTAAGCCCACCTTGCCAGTTAAAATAACTAATGAAATCCCTCATATATTTATTGTTTGATTTTCAGAGCTAAAGTTTTTTTTCCTGCCTTAATGCTAATTTTTTCAACGTAATGG